CCAAGGTGGTATACAAGAAAGATTATGCCTTCCATGTATTGGGAATCTGTTTGTTCTTTTGTTGTACATAATGAAGTAAATATTCCTTTCAAAAGCTGAACTGTTAGTAGCTAAATGGAACTGGGCTTCATGAAATGATCCCTACAATCAAAGGGAACAACATCTCTTGGGACTACAGCCATTGACAGAAAGCCCAGACAACAAGATCCTTAAGGGTCTTGGAGAAATACGGTGTGGTATGGTTAAAGAGAATTACAGATAGTATATTCAATCTCAAAAAAATTTTTTTTAAAAATTACACTGAGATTTCAAGTTGGCTAATTTCACAAAAAAAAGGAAATGATAGATGCTGAAGAGGATGTGGGAAAATTGGGACATTAATACATTGTTGATGAAGTTGTGGACTGATGCAACTATTCTGGGGAGCAATTTGGAACTATGCCAAAAGGGCAATCACACTGTGCATACCCTTAGATCCAGCAATACCACTACTAGGCCTGTATGCCAAAGAGATCATTAAAAAGCTTTGGGGGGAGGGGCAAAGAGAAGAATCTACATGAACAAAAGTATTTATAGCAGCTCTTTTAGTGGTGGGAAAGAATTGGAAATTGAGTTGATGTCCATCAATTGGGGAATGAATGGATGAATGAGTTGTTGTCTATGTGATGGATACTATTGTGCTTTAAGAAATGATGAGCAAGATGCTCTCAGAAAAAACATGGAAAGACTTAAATGAATTGATGCAAAGAGAAATGAGCAGAACAGGAGACCACTGTACACAGTAACAGCAATATCATATGATGATCTATTGTGAATGACTTAGCCATTCTCAGGAATACAATGATCCAAGACAATTCTGTAGGATTTGTGATGAAAGGTGCTGTCCATCTCCAGAGAAAGAACCGGTGGAACCTGAATGCAGATCAAAGAAACTTTTTCTTCACTTTATTTTTCTTGGGGTTTTTTTTGTCTATTTCTTCTTTCACAGAATGCCTTCCATGGCAATGTGTTTTTCACAACTACACATTTATAACCTATGTCAAATTGGTTGCCTTCTTAATGTGGGGGAGGGGAGAGAGGGATAAAATTTGGACCTCAAAATTTGAAAAAGAAAAAGGATGTTAAAATTGTCTTTACATGTAATTGGGAAAAAATAAAATATTAAGTAAGATTTTAAAAAAGCAAGTTTACTTCCAGATGTCACGTGATGGATGGATGGATGGATGGATGGATGGATGGATGGATGGATGGATGAGTGTGTATCTCTGCTACTGCTATGCTAGATCAAACAACTCCTGGGGAAACTCATTCCTCACCATCTAGCTTCTGACACATCCCGGCATGTATTCAAACTTCTAGGCTGATGTATCACAGTCCTTATATACTTGATACAGTTTGCACTAGCCTTTTTACATTCTCAGAGTCAAAGCCATCCACAATCTCCACCTAGCCTCAGAAAGAACAAATCCAAAGAGGCAAAGAATCAAGGTCCATATTCAATGGCCAAATGCTGACCTCAGATCAGGAGGACCTGAGACCTCTATACTTATAGCATGGCCCCTATCAGTGAAATACAGGCAGGTAGGAAAGAGATATGTCAAGAGCAAGACCCAGTGTCACTGGTGTCTGTGAAGCATACTCCAGATCTACTTATATAGCCAATCAAAGGTCTGTATTCTCATCACAAGGTTAGCACACTGCAACCAATAGCTAAATATCTACATATGTTCCAAATCAAAAAGCAAGGCACTTCTATTATATAATATCATACATTTCCAGAAGTAAGAGTTGCATAGATTTTTGTTTCTTTATTGTTTTTTGTTTTAATTTATTACATTTTCATAGTCCTTTTTTTTCATTTTGATAGTTTGATTTCTTTCTATAGCACTGTGAAGTTTTCTTTTAAAAATTTCAGTATTAAGGGCAGCTAGGTGACTCAGTGGATAGATCATAGGCCTTGAAGTCAGGAGGACCTGAGTTCAAATCTGTCCTCAGACCAAACACTTGGCAATTGCTAGTTGTGTGACCCTGGGCAAGTCACTTATTCCCAATTGCCTAAAAAAAAAAAATCTGGCTTCAGACACATAACGCTCATTAGCTGTGTGACTCTGAGCAAGTCACTTAACCCCAATTGCCTCACCAAAAAAAAAGCACAACAATAAAAATTTGAGTATCGAACTATTTAATAAGTAAAAATAGGGAATAGTTGTATTTATTCACTTTGCTTTATCATTATATAATGTCATGGTTTGTCTCCTTCAACTTTTTTCCTAAATTGAATCCTACTTTATCAGATACCATTACAGTCCCTCCTCCTTTTTTACACTTACTTTTGAATGGTACATTTTACATTAGCATTTTCATGTTAATCTAACTACACCTTCTTGTTTAAAATGTGTTTCCTGCAAGCAGCCTATTGATGGGCTCTCCTTGATCCCTTCCATAACACATCTTCCTTTGATGGGAAAATTCAGAACACTCATCTACTGTTCTGACTAATAAATTAGTTTTGTATCATTTCCTTATCATTATTCTTGTTGATATCTGAAGACAATGAAGTTTATCTAAATCCTCCATAAATATTTCCACTTAAAAAAAAAGACATAAGATTTCATTGGTATGGGTAATGTCTGGGAGGAAATATCATGATCAAAGAAGGAAGTAACAGGAAACATATCAAATGTATTAGCTAGAACAATAGATTTAAGTGATATGGATTCTCCCATTAAAGGAAAAAGTATAAGAGAATGAATTAAGAAACAAAAGCCATCAATATGCTGCTTATAGGAAACACATCAAAGGTGTGACTGATTTAAAATTAAAAGACTAGTGTAAAATATGCCATGTAAGTTCCAGTGCAAAAAAGTAGGAGTGGCCATAATAGAAAAAGTGAAATTCCATTTTAAAAAATTTGAAAGCTACAAAGCAGGTCACTACATAAAAGTGAAAGTTAAAATGAATAAATGTAACCATTCTCAATTTATACTCATCAAACAGTTCAATGGTCAAATTCATAAAGACTGACAGTAGTATGAAAAGAAAAAAAAATACCAAATGATGATTTACTTGAAGAGGATACTACCAGTATGACAAATTAAAAGAAAAAAAATTGGCAAAAAAAAGAAATAATAAAACCCATATATCTTCTACCTGCTTCTGGAAATGCCTGATGATGTGTGATGGAAGTGTCTTGCTTTCCACTTTGCACCATGTACAGACCAGTAGCTGGCTCTACTACTTTGATGAGGACACAGACCACTGATTGGCCATGTCATCACATGTGGGATATACTGCAAAAGCACTAGTAACCCTTTGCCTTTCTCTTTGTCAGTCTTCTTCCTACCTGTCTTCATGACATTGAGAGAAACAGTCCTGTAAGGATGGAACACTCAGGTCCACTCCATCTGAGATGAGTACTTGTCCTGTGGATACAGGCCTTGGTTCTTTGTCTCTTTGCGTTTATCCTTTCCTATTTTAGATGGAGATTACAAATGGCTATGACCTTGTGAACTAAAAAAGGTCACGCATATTAAACACCAGAAGATACCAGAAGAAGGTGAGGTATGAACTCCTAATCAACTTAATTGACCTAGAAGAGCAGGATCAGAGATCTGTATCTCCTCCAGTCATACCACATCTGGAAACTTGCTACTGTGATTGATATGTAAAAACTTAATTAAGTCTGATCCCTCTCTCCCCACTTTCCAAGGTAGTTTAGGTAGTAAGTATCCCTAGTTTATTTGTTTGTTGGGTTTTTTTTGGGGGGGGGGGAGGGAGTTGGTTAGAGGACGAATGTTTGTACTTATTCTATTATCTACAAAGTGAATATCCCTTTGGAAAATCAATTTTATGTTCATTGGAGCAACTGGCGTGCTTATCTCTGGGTGTTAACTGCAGAAATGGAAGTAGAGATAGACCACAATGAGAACTTGAGACAACAGTGTTACTGAAAGTCATCCCTGAAAGGAAGATGTAGCTGATCACCCCCTAAAATCATGAATGAGAAGCATAACTCATCTAATTCTGGGGCAGGAAGCCCAAAGTATCAATGCAATCTGATTCATCATAATCACTGCTTTGGAGTTTTTTGGTTTTTTATGTCTATACCACTCCATTCGTGTACCGCAATTTGTTGCCATTCCCTAGTTAATATGTATTTTCTTTTTTGAAGTTCTTTGTTACTACAAAAAAAAGTATTAATATAAATAATTTGATAATATGTAAGATACAGCGTGTCTTCTCATCTTTGCCTGTCTTATGGTATATGCTGAGCATTAAGATCTCTCGGCTACAGGATATGGTGAGAAATGTTCATTCATTTCTCATCATGATGCCAAATTTTTTTTTCAGAATGGTTAGCCTGTTTCAAAACTCTATGCACAGTGTACTGGTTTTCCTCTTTCCACAGTACATCTAACATTGACTTTTCACATCTTTTTGTTATCAATTTGCTTGGCTTGAGGTAACATGTAAGAGTTGTTCTGATTAGCATTTTTCTTTTTTTTAAGTATAGGCTTTTTGTAGATTTTTTTTTCAAAATCATCTAGATTTCTGCCTTGTGTATTACCTCCTCTCCCATCTTAGAGAATCATCTCTTGTAACAAAGTTAGTTGTGTTTGTTTTTTTTTTTAAGAAAAAGAGCACAGGAAAAACATTTTAAATAACCAATGAATACATTGAAAATATCTGAAATTATGCTCCATGGACCTCCACCTACCTCTACTTACGATTGGGTAGAGGTATATCATATCTTTTCTTTGGAGCCTTGTAATTTTGCAATATTCGTTTTGATTGTTTTGTGGTTGGTTTTTTCCATTTACATTGTGTACATATGTGTGTACACATACAAATATATAAAATAGTTTTCAACACTCAACTTCATGTTACATCAATTCATAGAACTTTTTCCATGCTTCCCTGTATTCAGCATGCTTCTCATTTTTATAGCATTACAATGTCATGATTGAAAACTGTGAATAAAGAAAACTAAGGCAAAAAAATTTCAAGCACAATCAGTTTATTATCCATGGCTAGCAATTTGCCAATAAAACAGGTCCAAGACCACCTCAGCTGGTACAAGGACCCTGAACTGAATTTACAGAGCATTCTTATAGACATAAATGAGAAACATCAGAATGGGGAACACAATAAATGAGGAACATTAATCCCAAATTGAAAGACATGATATTGATTCTCACAGGGGTTTACATTTTATGATTGGTTGGCTATTTGGGTATGTTCCAGTGTCATCACGGAAGTCTGTCTCTTGTAACCATCTTTGACAAGAATGGCGAATTTTCATGAGAATGAAGAACTTTGACAGGTGAGCAATACTCAGGGGGTTTCCCATCCTCATGTGACTTATATTTGATCATGGAGTAACTATAACTATAGTCTGCAGCAAGGCTCTTAATAGAAACAAGAAACTTAAATGGACAAAGGCATTTAATAGAAGTAAGAATTTTGGGTAAGAGGGGAATTATTTGGAGCCAATGTCCTGTCAGCCTACACAGAATCTCATATACACTTCTTAATCTACTATAATTTATAAAAACTAAACTACATGTGCAGTTAAAGAATGTGACTAAAATACATGATTTAACAATAATTTATTAATATTTTGAAATAAGCCATCATTATTTTCATATACCACAATTTGTTCAGCCTTTCCCCTGTGGATAGAATCCATTTTGTTTTCAATTCCTTACTTCCATAAACAATAGTCTTATAACTATTTTTGTATATAAGAAACCTTTCTTTCTTCTTTATGACTTCCTCAGAGTTTATGTCTCTAAATAAAATCACCAGATCAAGAGATACGGACATGTTAGGCACTTCATTTTCATAATTCAAAATTGCTTTTCAGAATGGTTGTGTGGATACACAGTACAGCCATTGATGCTTTACTGCAATGTCTCAAACACAAATAGAAAGGCATACCAATAAGCCATAAATATCAATCTGTGTCAATGCATATTGACTTAGAAAACCACATATTAACATTATCTGTTTTATTGTATTTTCATACGTTTTGTTAAATGTTTCCAAACTACTTTTTACTCTGGTTACTTTACTCTATCTACCTTCCCACAATAATACTCACCAAAAATAAATTTTGATTATTCCTCTCTTTTGTCATCTTTCTCAGTTTGCTGGGAAACCTCTGGGTTGTTCTGATTCTGATTTCTCTTAGTAGTGATTTTGAGGATTTTTTCTTATGATTACTAAGAGTTTACAACTTTTCTTTTGAACACTGTTTATTTATATTCTTTCAACACTTAACCATTAGGAAATGACCCTTTTTTGGTTATGTATTTGTTAATTGCCTCTTTATTGCATACTTGTCAGAGATATTTGATGCAACTTTTCCCCATTTCACCCCTCCTCTTCTCATATTAGTTATGCTAATCTTTCTTGTGTAAAATGTTTTCAGTTTCACATAATCTATTGTTTTACAACTGTCCATCTCTCTTCTTTATTTAGGAATTGTTCCCCTGGTCATGGATAACAAAAGTATCTTTTCTGTTTCTTTCTTACTTTTCTTTGACCCTTTATCATAGAGGTTAAACATCCATTTTTACTTACTCTGGTATTTGGTGTTAGCCAATACTCTCAATCTAATTTCTATGGTACTCTTTTTGAGATTTTCCAGATGTTGACCTGAAAGTTTGGCTAAAGAGGCAGACAAGCTAGGTGTGAGATAGATATATATTCATATATATATTCATATTGTTTATTCCATTAAGCTAGCAGAATATATGTACATACATTTGAGCCAGAGGATAAATTTGACTCCGAAATAAGCAAGATGACAAGACCTTTTACGCATTTAGAGCAATTCTGACTGAGGATATCTGTCTCACTCAAAAATTATACTCTCTATATGTTTTAACCATAGAATGAGAAAGGAATTTTCTTAATTGAATAGGTTGTAAATATAATAATATAGGAGAATGTCAAGGTGTCAAATGAAATTATAGTTTCAGGATATCTATGTTTCTTCTATCACTAACATAACATAGCATAGTATATGTCCATAAAATAGTAAGACAAGAAAAATCCCATTATTCAAGATAGGGGGTGAGTGAAGATGTCTTGTCCTGAGTGGTCATAAACAGAAGAATGTTACTGGTCAGCTTCAGTTGCTGACAGGGGAAAGAGCATTTTGATTTCACTCAGAGAGCAAAGCAAAGCATGTCTGTTATGCCAAGGTGCTTCTTCTGGTTCATTAGTTCAGGCTTTGGCCTTTATCGGGGCTCAAATTATCTTAAATGATTATCACAACAATTCTCGCAAACAGGGATTCTTCCATAAATAGGTTATAGTCTTGCTAATTGGAAACTGTGAGATTAATATTAAGTGTTTCTGGTTCTCCATTGTCTAATCTGTCCCTCTAAATCTCATCTTATTTTTTGAACTAGTAATATAGTATTGATGATTACTACATTATTATTATACATATATATATATATCTGGTAGTGCTATGCCCCCATCATTCATATTTTGCAAAATCATTTCTGAGAGAACAAGTTCTCAAAATGATCTACATTAAGGCTCCATGGTGTCACTGAGAATTATTATTTATTCAAGTCATTCAGCACATCTTCCCTGGTGATACTGAACCATGCATCAGGAATCTGACCTCTGCCCTTGAATCTGAAATTGTAACGCTCTTCTAATTGTGACTTGAAGCAACACACAAACCATTTCCAGTATGGCTGGATAGATGTATCTGGAGTGATGCTCCATGTGGCATATTCACCACCTGCCTGACGATAAGTCTTGTATGGGATTGTTCTACCATCTTTAAGAATAAACGAAATATTACTTGCCACAGAGCTGGTACAGAAATCAATTGAAAACTCATCAGTTTCGTTCCATTTTATGCCAGTGACAGCCTTAGAACGATGAAATGGGACGCTGTGATCCTCACCATGATTTATGGCTGTATTTGTACAAATTGCTTTGCAAAAGGGACATTGCTTCCAGCAGCCACTGAGCTGAGCAGAGAGCATTGTCTGAATCTCAGCTACAATGTTCTCTAAAAGAGATGTAATTTCATTCTCCTCTCTTATCCTTTGGATTCTGGTATCCAGGTTTTCTTTCATGGCTTCCTTGAGGAATTCAATGTCATCTATCTCCTGGTGTTCAATGCTTCTTAAGTCTCCTCTTGGAAGGGTCAAATGACATGCAAGGTGATTACACAATATGTCTAGCCATACAGATGCAGAATTGTTTTGTTCCTTAGCCACCAGAGTTGACTCACAAATAGCAGTGAGGATGACTTTCTTAAAAAATTCCAAGCTTTTACTTAAAAAATTATTTAATTTCTCATTTCCTTTATTTGAACAATATGCTTGGATCTCCTTCTCGATGTACTTCTCAAAAAACGTTTTTGGTGTGTGAATGTATTCCCAAAAATTCTCAAAGTTTTCTTCTTTAGCCAGAGAGATAAGAATATGTTTCTCCAGGTTGGAACGGTTTCCATTGAAGGCAGTACAGTTAGCCCTAATCTCCCCAGCAAGGTCAAGGGCTATCTTTTTCCTGATGGCTATAGGTAGGGAAGCAGTGAGCTTGCTGCACAAGAAGTCAGAAAATGCTGTGATCGAGGTTGCACCTCGGCAGGAAATCTTAAAACTCATAAAGAAATCCTCTCTCTTGTTTTCTAGATATGTGACAGGATCATGTGCTCTCTTGAAAGCTGTGTGCATATCCCTAAAATTAGCTGCTGCTCTATGGCATAAACATAAGGACAAATCTATTTTATATTCATTTGTAAATGTGTACTTTGCCTCCTCAGATGCAGAATCAGTTGCCATGTCTATCAATCGCAGTATCTCATGGAAGTAACTTATATTATAATCCATTCCCATTCTCAACTTATCTTCAATATTTTTAGTGATCAATGAGATAATGTATTCATTACTTTGCATTATGGCCTTCTCATCATTCTCTGTTATTTTGGGTGTGTAAACTTTCCATTTTGTCTTCATTGTGACATGTTTCTCATAATTAATTGAAAACATTTTTCTTCTAGAATGATTTCGAAGTTTACTTGCCACATTGTGCTCCTGTTTAAAATGGTCCAGAAAGACATTCTCCAAATCTACATCAATATCGGGGTCTTCAGCAGGAGAGGAAGTTGAGGATACTTTAGAGACCCACTTTGTCCAAAGTTGACTGAATGTCTTCCTCAGTTCCTCTTCACTTAATTCTTTACCCATTAAGGACAGAGCCATATCTCTGCTTCTTAACAATAGCGCTTTTTCATATTCTGATTTCTTTTTATCCAGTTTATCTTGACTTTTCCTTGAACTAAGAAAACCATTGGACTTTTTAATGATTTCTGAAACAAGTGCCTCTTTAAGATTTCTCAGTTTGTTCTCAAAGTTTCCCTTCCACTGGATCAGGATTTCATTCTCTTGGTCTTCATCAAAATATCTTTGAAGCTCTTGCCTGATGGCATCATATTTTTCTGCAATATTAGCCTCAATAGAACTTCTTGGCAGATCCTGAATTTCCCCATTCTGAATCTGATTGCTCAATTGGTTCTCCAAACCCAACACATGACTTCTTAGATTCCAGGTCCAGTTGTTATACATTGTCTCAAGTTTGATCATGGCCACGATCTCCCGGGTATTCCTAAAGCTGAAGATGAAGTTTTCATTCAGCAAGGCTTTCCACAAATCATGGATCCGGACTTTCACCTCAGACATCTTCAGGATGCTGCCTTTGGATTCTTTTTTGGCAGCCAAGAGAAGTCCTTGTTTTAGTTCCTGGATGTTGTGGCTATAACTGGGGTTGGGAGGGGCCATTGGAGGATCCCCTTCCCATAGATGAGCAAAGTAATGGACATGGGTGTTGACATCAAACCGAATGACATCACTGAAGCTGGTAATATCTGAGCACTGTTCCTGTTCTGCAGCCGTGGCTGCCATTTCATCCAGTCTCTGCTGCAGTCGCCTTCGTCCTTCCACATTTTGGTCTTTGGCAGTGATTGCCCCTACATTCTGATGCACAAAGAGACAGCTTGGGGAAATGTTCACTTGTTTCATTCTCAGAAAGGCCTGAACAGCAATTTGCAAGATATCTTGCATTTCTGAAGGATTCTCCCCAAATATATTGATCAAAGTCAGGTTTGCAAGTCCAATAACAAAAGTTGCCAGCTCATTGTCCCGATTCTGTGATTTGCCAGTAAGTTCTAGGGCCCGGAGTCCTTCTGTGTCAACCACAAGGACAAAGCCAAAGCCCAGCTCTTCCCAGACAGCTTCTTCCACCTTCAGCAACTGCATGTAAGCTCCTCGTGTGCATCGCCCTGCACTGACATTGAACTGCAGCCCAAACATAGCATTCAGCAGAGTTGACTTCCCTGTGCTTTGGAGGCCAAGAACAGAGATAACAAAGATCTTTTGGTCTCCAATTTTCTCAATCAATCTGTCAAAAACAGCTGCTACCCACTGCAGGGGGACATAGGAAGCATCCCCATCCATCAGCTCAAGGGGAAACCCAGAAACCATCAGGTCAGCAGCAATTTGAGGAAGGGAGGAGAACACAGTGTCCGTTTGGGATGAAGCTTCTTCCAAAGTTTCATAGATCTGGCCAACCTCCCTCAGGAGATGATCAATACCCAAGGACAAATCCCTGATCTCCTTGGAGACAGCTTCTAGTTCCGTTTCTTGGCATTTCAAGGAGGCACTCTTGGATCCCTTTCGGTTTTTTGACAACTCCAGGGACCACAATTGGTTGTACCTCTTCTGCAGTTTTTTCAGGTGACCTCTGGTCAGGTTGTCCATGAACATGCTCAGCCACTGGAGGAAGTACAGCTCAGTGCTGTTGTCTTTCTCTGAGTGAGACTGGAGGATTTCAAGCACAGATCTCATCAAGTCATTGAGAGGAAATGCTCTCTTTAGCTGTGCTTGTCTTATTCTTCGCTTTTCTGTCTCAATCTCACTCTTGTGCTGTTCAAGACTGCGGTTCCCCTTCTCTCGCAGGTGACAAAGCTCCTTATCCTTCTTACACCACTGGTGCCAAAGTTCTCCTTGAAGGGGCAGTAATCTCTCCTTCATTTCAGACAACTTCATCTCTGTCATGAGGGCTAGCAAAGCCTGTGCCTTTCCTTTAGCCTCCTGACACTCCTTCCTGTCCACATCTACAAGAAAGCCATGGCGGCGAGCAACTTCAGCACAGTCTTCCAGACTGAGAAAGGGACCTGAAGACTTCAGCAAGCGATTGATGACCTTCGTGAGTTCATCCATTAATTCAGCCTCATTTCTATTCCTAATCCCAATCCTCACTTTCTGACCAGAATCATTGAAGACATTCTCCTCTTTGTCATCAAACAAATAAACCAAAGGTTTTGTTGACTTCCACAGGTCATGGACCATTTTGACAGTCCTCTCACTTTTATCAGAAGCAGACACAAGGACCACTGTGACTGAAGCAATTTCTTGTAGAAATCTGAGCTGTGTCTCATGATCTTTGGCATCTCCACGCAGATTGGTGAAGGCAACACACCTTTCAAATCTGTCCTCATCTCTCTCCCCTGGACAGAACCAGGAGATCTCTATCATACCTCCCATTAAGAGGCAGGATTTGCTGCTGCCTCGACAGTGACGGTGGAAAAAAGCATCGTGTTTGTGCTTACTCAGCAGAGAGTTCAAGATTTGAGATTTGGAAGAAGCAGAATTCACAACTCTTATAAAGGACACGATGGGAATGGGTTCCTGGGAGATGAGTTGGCTATTGAAATTGATGACTGTGTCTTCTCCTGATGATTTCTCCACTTGTCTCCAGCTTCTCTTGATTTGGCTGAGAGACCAGAGGGGGAATTCTATTTTAGAAGTGCAGGGATTGGGCACCACAAGGGGGAGGGCAAATTGACAAATGGAAAGTTTGTTTGAAATGTATTGTCTCATGAAGTCATCAGCACAGTGAAAAATCATCATCTGTGTGTCCATTGGGTGGATGTGTGGTGGGACTGTGGACAAGAGGAGAGAGGGTGTGTTCCTATCATCAAACAAATCACCATAAGGATCTGAAGTGTCATTCTTGAGATTTGTCAGAGTCAGTGTGCTGCTGCCCTCTGTGTCTCCACCACCTTTACAGACCAAGTATCTCAGTCGGCAATCCAGCATCAACAACTTCTGTAGGAAATAAAATGGCAATTTTCCTTCCGTGTCAGGCTGACTGTCATGCACAGAGGCCTTGTAAATGAGATGGAAATCTGCTCGGCCCATCTTCCTTGGATAGTAATGCTCCAGACCAAGCCTCTTAGCTAAGTCTAGAAAGTTGGAATTTTTTATCACTTCATGGTGTGTGATGGTACTTGCTTCTGGTTCACAGGTCTTTTTCTTTCTCTGAGAGACACTTTCTAGTTCTTTTTTCACCTGGTCCATCTGCATACAGTTCACAGTAGCTTCATATTCTCCACTCATGAGGAAATTCAGGTCTTTCTCCAGAGTTTCCCAATCGTGACCACCACCGGGTTTCAAGAGGACATGAAGTATTTCCTTGGACCATGACTGATCCATGTGAGATTGCATAAGCTTCAAACGCTGCATCTTTTCTTCTGCAGACACAGCAGATTGTCCAGGAGTTACTGTGAGCCCTGTGACCAGTAGGAATGCTTGAGCCCTATAGTCACATTCCTTATTAAGGTGCTGGTATTTCTCATGGGCTTCTTTCATTTCACATAACAGGAAATTTAATTCTTCACATCCTAGGAGACAGTGGAACGTTTGGTTTTCCTCCTTGTACCCTGCACCAGCTGCAATGGAAAGAAGCAGCAGGTGTGTGCCTGACTCCTCTGCCTGTTTCAGGGCCTTCAGAAAGGAGCTGAGAGATGCACTGACCTGATAAGTAGCCCTTCTTTGAGCTTCTTCCACTTTTCCTAAGGACTCTGAGTTGTGATTTATTTCGAGAAGGTCATTCTTTGTCTTTTCTAAGAGCTGAATGAACTCAGCAAACTCTGTGACACTGATATCCTGTTGCTCCTTTGCTGAGTGGAAAACCCACTGCATGATTGGCCGACTCTGTGGGAACTCCTCCACTTGATAGACATGAGGATACAGAAGGCTACGCAACTGGGATTTAATTAATTTGGTTTCATGAACTGGGAAGTCCTTGCAGAAACTGACAATGTCCACCAAGAACTTCTGCAGAGCAAGGTCTTTGAGACAGATGTTAATCCAGGTGTTAGAGTTCCTAGTTTTCTCACTCAGCTTTTGCTTGAAGTCCATCAGTTTCATCAGTTTCTCCTCAGGCTCAGTGATTTCCCAGGATTTCACTTCCTCTACAAAAGACCTGGCATCCTCCTGTGCACTCAGTAATTCCTCTCCATCCTGGGTCCTTGCACATCGGCCAGTCAGGGCTGTGTAAATGTCTGTGAGGCAGCGAGCCACTTGTAGAGGATCCTGAAAATCTTGTTTGTGGTTAGACAGAATTATTTCCCAGACAGGCACTAGCTGATAACCTCGGTCAATGACACGCCAGGTGTGGTTACTGGCCACAAGACCAGCTTTCCACTGTGGGAGAGAATCCACCTCTGGGGGGCCTCCTGTTTGGTATACAGACATTTGGAATCTTGCTGGCAAATTACTGGAGCTTCTATTGTGAGAAGCCATTTGGGGCTGACAGTTGGATGCATTTACCATGGCTGCAGCTGTCAACCCAAAACCACTATAGCTGCCTCGGATGTACACATCGAGTGCCTCTGAGGCTTGTTGCTTCACATCACCCAGCTCCTCTGACCTGAAACCCTCAGCTACAGCTTTCCACCAGAACACTCCCCCCAAGTACAATGGGCCCTGGTTCACATGAGAGCCAAACCTTTGGAAAAATGCCTCACATCTATCCTTCAATAGTTGATGGGTTTCTGCACCACTGAAGTGACTCAGAAGTTGCTCCAGCTGTTTTAACTCTTGCAGAGCTGACCTGGATAGGTGGAGCTGGTCCTGTGAAAAGTGGCAGGAGGCCAGTGGGACATAGCTGAACTTGGTGGTGCAGCTGTAAGTGTCCTTAGAGTGTGACTTATGGACCTGTCTAGAATCAGAAGATCTGGTGTCATTGGCACTGGCCTCCAGGTTAAAACCCCAACCTCCACCCTTAGCCAGGAAGCTAACACTGAAGCCCAATTTCTCCATGCTTTCAGTAAACATGGACTCTTCACGAGAAGACAAAAACTCCATCGTTTCCATCCTTGTTCCCTGTGTTGGGCTGAGCAGGGCGAAGTTCTCTGGGAGGCTGAGCAGTTCTTCTCTCCTCTCCAAAAGATCTTCAGGGTGGTTGGTTTGGTAAATCCCCTGTAGGGCCAGGCCACCTGACACCCTTTTCAGGAGCTCCTTGTCAGGAAGATTCTCCCTATGGGAGAGTATGCCCTCCATGTGACTGAGGTGTCTCTGCATGTTTTCTATGACCTCCATTAGGGGTTTCTCAGGGAGCGGCCAGTACTTGGATGGGATCTCCATGGCCTCCCTCAGCTCCTCTTCTTTCTCCCTCACAATCATCTCCTGGCGGCTTTTGTCTGCTGCCTGCATCTCCCTCAGTTCCCTCAAGGATGACTGTGCCCACTCTTGTCTCTCCTTCACCGTCACCCAGTGTTTGTCTTCCATCTTCTCTGAGCCCTGGCCACTCGACAGCTGAAGAAGTTTCTCCAAGGCCCGTTTCTCCCAAGAATGTCTTGCCTGAGATTTCAGTGTCTGGATTTCCCTTTGCTGCAGGTGTTGTAAAGCTTGGGCAGAGGTCACACCCAGGCGTTCCTGCAGCTTAGTCAACCAATACTGGGTATCCAGCCCCAATTCTCTCAGCTTCTCCTCCAGCTCTCTTCTTCCTGGGTCTCCTTGGGATGGTTCATCATCATTATCCCCTGGTGTAGACATGGCTGCAGGAGAGTACAGAACATCAATTAGTCAAAACCTGTTTTTAGTTTAGGAGGAATGGGGCACAGAAGGTATGTGGTGAGAGTATAAAATATAGAAGGAGCTTCACAGGAAATATATTCACTCTACTCTCCTGCCCCAGAAGCATCACTGCATGTATTTGATATATGTGGAAGCACAAAGTCCTGCTGACTTGGGTTTGTGGTGTTTGGACTCTAGCAAACTGAAGCTATGTGGAGGATAGATGTGAAGAGAAGAATGTGAAATCCAAAAAAACCATGTGGCTCAATACTCTCTCCCCATCAAGACTAGCAAACATCTCTCATTTCAATGAGGGGGAAATCTCTCCTTCTACTCCTGGTAGCTATCTGTGTCTTCCCCCTAAGAGGCTCATCTTCAGCTGATTTGGAAATTTTTTACTGAGACATAAGTATAAAAATATACACAGCTTAGCCTGGATTTTAAGGCCTTACATGATCTGCACCCTGCCTACGTTTCCAACATTATTTAGTATTGCTACCCTTCCATCAGTCAAATTTCACCAAAATTTGTATACAGGGCCCTATCTGATCTCATGTAATACAATGTACATAAATGGAATCATCTCCTTCCCTATCTCTGACTGTTGAAATCCTTTCTTCAGAGCTTAACTTAGGTGCTATTTCCTCAGGGAAGCCTTCTTGCTGATCCCATTTGAAAGCATATTTTACCTCTTTCAAATTACTTCCAACACTTTTACTAGACTTCTGCTTTCCTCCACCATACCATGCCTCATATTATTTGTGGCATTATCTTCAATTGAATATAAGCTTGTTGAGGTGAGAGAGTATGTCAATTTTCATCATTTTCTCCCCAAAGCGAAGGATAGGGACTTATACACAACAGCTGCTTAAAAAATATTTATTTAGTTGCATTTAATTTACTCTAAGGTTTATCTCATTGCTATCAACCTTGGCCTCCTTACAGGAAAGAATGTCTTCTCATTCACTGCTCCATACTCTCCTGATGTCTAATTTCTGTTCAATCAGCCCTCTCTTTGTACCACTGCCAAAATGCTACTCTCATCTACTTCCTATTATGCTAGCTCTTTACAGCTATTCAGATGTCATTGCTACCTCATCATGAACCCTAATCTCTATTCAGATAATATTAACCCTTACCAGACTCATTCCAATTCATTTTGTACAACTCTAAGGCCATTTTACTTTGCCCACTGAAATACTAACATCATTACTGATATACACCTTCCCAATCATTGTTTTAACCAAAACTCATTTCTCCTAAAGGTATCAATTCTTTTGCATCATTAATAACTAATTGGCCAGAAATACAGTATCTTCGGGGAGGAACCGAGATTCCATGTTTGCAAGGAAATGGAAGGAACATGAGAGGAATAGGTCTTATAAGAAGGGAAGCTTGCTAGCAATAGAATTTAGTTCTTGATAGTACATTGCAAGGGGAGAGTCAAGCAAGATAAACACATGAAGGAGAAGGGGACAGGTTAATGGGAATAAGGAAGGAAGGAGTGACAGTATCAGAAGGGAGTTTTACTTCATCAGCTTTGAACTCTGAGTACATTTTTATGGAATGAAGAGGTTTGCCAGTTACAGGAGAGTAGATTTTCTTATCACTCCCAGCAGCAAAAAGAGATGCAGTCAGGACCCCAACATTCTCCCTTTGGTGGAAGAGCTGAAAATTAGGAGCTGAAACTCTGGATCTGGGCTGATCCAGTTGGTTGGTGGGAAAGGAAAAATTCTAAGTGATTGAGTCACTGTTTCTATTCTCTTCTGCGAGGCCAGTGGCCTCATAGTCAGAGAACTGGTGTCTTGACCTGCATCAATTATGGGGTGATTGGTTTACATATACACCCACATCAGCATGGACAGCACTGCCTGAAGGTCCCATGTGGGATATTCAATCAATTACTCTTATCAAAAAGGAAGGATCAACAGGAGGTGAAAAGGTTGGGGTTTTTGTTTGTTTTGAGGGAAGGAGAGGTTCCAAAGAAAGAAGGTACAACAAAGAGGGGGAACTATAGGGAGATATGGCTGATTGGATAGGTAGTATCAAGAGGTTAGTGTACAAGGGACATGTAACTCACATAAGAGTCAATGTTGCAAAGAAGGGAGGAGAAGAAAGTGGAGATGACAAATGATGTCCATGCCTTCCCTTCAATATATCAAGTATCCATCAAGAGACAGAAAACACACTACCACTTTAGACAGCTCATTCCATCTTTAAACAGCCACAATGGTTAGGAAACTATTTCTTGAAATATGCCTTCCTCTAATATTAGCAAGGCACTGCTAGGTGGAACAGCAGATAAGAGTGCTGGGCCTGAATTCAGGAAGACTCCTCTTCCTCAATTCAAATCTGACCTCAGATATTACTTAACCTTGTTTGCCTCAGTTTCCTCTTCTGTAAAATGAACTATGACAGAGAGGTTAGAGAGTGTGAAGATTATAAAGACACTTTTTAATTTATGAATTGGGATCACTGATGATTTATTTGGTGAGACCAATTTCCACAGGGTGGTGTACAAAAATGCCAGTTTTCAGTAACCTGAAGAATGAGTAGAACAGTAAAGTAGTGAAAGCAGCAAATAAGGAGAGACTCCTGTTTGTGGAAGTTGAGAAGAGAAAGGTAGAAGAGTAACAGGTTAGTAGTTTAAGGGAGAATAAGGACCATTGAAAGTTTACTGTAGGGAGGTTGAGCCAAGATGGAGCAGTAGAGGGAGCTCCAGCTGAACTTTCTCAACATTCCACTGCAAGCAACTTTAAAACAGTGCATCAAATCAAATTCTAGAGTGATATAGCTGACAAAAGATCAGGGTGAGATATTTTTCCTGCTCAAGACAACTTAAGAGGTTAAAAAGAAAGGTCTGTACCACTAAGGTGGAGACTAGCACATATCACAGTAAGGAGGATTGGACAGCCAGTCAGAAAGAGATTACAGGGGTCCCATGTGCAGACACTAGGCACAGGACTGTGTGTGCTTGAGTGTGCTTGGCAACTCCGTTGATCACTATCCAGTTCTGAGTCACAGTTCAAGGATGGAGAAGATTGCTTGCAGTCATAAGGGAAAAGTTTTAGGACACAAAGAGAGCAGGGGTACTAATTCCTGGTAGTAGTTCTAGGGCTCAGAAAGGAGTACTAGCCATTGTAGTGCTGAGGTGGCAGGGGCCTTCCCTGTATAAGGACCAGAACACAGACTAGGGAAGCAGTGACCACACTTTTCCCTAAGTCACCCACCTTGGAAGCACCAAAAACTTAAAGACCCTCAGAACTATCTGTGAAAATGACAGAGCAAAAAAGCCTGAAGCTTAGGCTGGTGACCACAACCTGCAATCAGAAGTCAGCAGAACCCACTCCAACACAAATTTAAAAGTCAAGAAATAGGGTGGAAAAATAAGCAAACAAGAACAACAAAAACCTGAGAAGAAAAAGCTACTATGGTGATAGAGATGCTTAAGACACAAACTCAGAAGAAGACAATGGCAGGAAAACATCTACCAGCAAAGCCTCGAAGGAAAAATACAGACTAATACAGACTTGACACAAGCCCAACAAGAATTCCTAGAAAAGATAAAGAAAGAGATAAAAAGAGCAAAAAAAAATTTACAAATCAAATAAGTGCAACAGAAATAAATTGGGAAAAGAAATGAGAGCAATGCCAGAAAATGATGAAAACATAATTCACAGAGAGGTACAAGGGGCACAAAAAAAAGTGAAAAAAAAGAATTCTTGAAAAGCAGAATTAACCAGACGTAAAAAGAGGAATAGATGCTCACTGAAGAAAATAATTCCTTAAAAACTAGAATTGGGCAAGTGAAGTTTACTGATTCTATGAGACCTCAGGAAACAATAAAACAAAATCCAAAGAAGGAAAAAATAGAAGAAAATATGAACTATTTCATCAGATAAACAACCAACATAGGAAAGAGATTGAGGGGAGATAATTTAAGCATTGCTGGACTAACTAAAAGCCATTATCAAAGAAAGCATATAGACAACATATTTCAAGCAACTATAAAGGAAAACTGCCACAATATCCTAGGCACCAGAGGGTAAAACAGAAATTGAAAGAATCCACTGATAATGACTTGAAAGAGATTACGGAACAAAAACTCCCAGTAATATTATAACCAGTTTCCAAAGCTCTTAAGCCAAGGAAAAAATACTTCAGGCATCCAGAAAGAAACCATTCGAACACTGTGGAGCCACAACCATGTTCACAAAAGATTTAGCAGTTATCACAACAAAGGAGCAGGAGGCTTAGAATATGATATTCCAGAAGGCAAAGGAGCTGGGATTATAACCAAGAATATCCCACCCAACAAAATTGAGTATAATCTTTTAAGGGAATAAAAAGTCAATATTTAATGAAATAGAGGAATGTCAAGCATTCTGATGAAAAGACCAGCGCTGGATAGAAATTTTAACTTTCAAACACAAGACTTAAGAGAAGCATTAAAAGGTAAAAATGAGTGGAAAATCACAAGGAACTTAATAAGATTAAAATGTTTACCTTCCCAAATGAGAAAATGAAACTTTGGAACTTCATGATTATTGGGACAGTTAGAAGGACTCTACATAGACAGAGGGCACGGCTGTGAGTTGATTGTGTTGGGATGATCACAAAAAAAGAATGGAATGGTGAGAAATGAAGATGTACTGGAAGAAAACCAAAGGAAGAAGAGGAATGGGAAAATTTTTGTCACATAAAAGAGGCATAGAAGGAAGAATATTTGCAGTTGAGAGAAACATAGAGGGAAGTGGGCAATGTTTAAAATTCACTCTTATCTGAACTGGTTCAAAGAGAGAACAATATTTATAAACATAGATATATACGCACATATTCAGTTACATTTGTATACATACATATACAAATATACTCATTTGGGTATAAAAATCTATCTGACTGAACAGGGAAGAAAAGAGAATGAGCTGAAGATAGGGTGGGGGGGAGGCAATAAGAACAGATTAAGGGAAGCAATGGTCAG